AACTGTCAGGACCAAAACAAACTCTGGGTCTGAAAAAAGCCGCTGTAGATCAAACAGACACTGGGAGCTGCAGGCGGAGGAGCAGAGTACTCGGATACATTCAGTAACTTTTTAAAGACATTGTACTTTTCTAACTGCCAACGGTTACTCCTACATGAGTCATATTTTTATTGCAGTAACAGTACTTTTACACAAGTATTATCAGGCACAGAGTAACAGTACTTTTACTCGAGTACTACAACACAGAGTAACAGTTTTTTACTCGAGTACTAGAGTAGAGTAACAGTTTTTTTACTCGAGTACTATAGCATAGAGTAACAGTACTTTTACTTGAGTACTCTAGCAGAGTAACATTTTTTTTACTCGAGTACTATAGCACAGAGCAACAGTACTTTTACTCGAGTACTATCAGGCACAGAGTAACAGTACTTTTACTTAAGTACTATTAGGCACAGAGTAATAGTACTTTTACTCGAGTATTATAGCAGAGTAAGTTTTTTTTACTTGAGTACTATAGCACAGAGTAACAGTACTTTTACTTGAGTACTATCAGGCACAGAGTAACAGTACTTTTACTCGAGTAGAGTAACAGTTTTTTACTAGAGTACAGTACAGTACAGAGTAACAGTACTTTACTTGAGTACTCTAGCAGTAGTAACATTTTTTTTACTCGAGTACACAACAGTACTTTTACTCGAGTACTATCAGGCACAGAGTAACAGTACTTTTACTTAAGTACTATTAGGCACAGAGTAATAGTACTTTTACTCGAGTATTATAGCAGAGTAAGTTTTTTTTACTTGAGTACTATAGCACAGAGTAACAGTACTTTTACTTGAGTACTATCAGGCACAGAGTAACAGTACTTTTACTCGAGTAGCAGTCCTTCCTCTTCCGTGTGAGTCTAGAGGCGGTGAGTGATTTTCTCGTTTTTGTCTCTTCGTCTTTAAAGCTGCACTGTGGAACTTTCCTCACTCATGTTTTGTTGCTTCACCTGAAGTTTTCACGTCTGAATCCAAACGACTGGAGACGAGCCCGACCGGGTCACAGGGCGGATCTGTGGAGAGGCGAGCTCACGTACAGAACAACAGCAGCACAATTTTCAAGGTTTTGATCAATTAAATTAAATTAAATAATAAGCAGGTTTAATGCCAGACTGCGGGACATTCTCCTCAGTGCATCACCACGGACACAATCAGGAGCTGCACTTTAAAAAAACATTCACCCCTCGACCTCAGAAAGATTTAAAATCACACAAATGTGATTTTACTGAGAGAAAAAGTCAATGTCTTGGAGTAATGTTACTCAGAAGTATCAGTACTCTTACTCGAGTACAGTGTGTACTCTGCTCGTGCGGCTGCAGAACCGGAGAGCCTGCGGTCAGAGGGAGACCTGCGCCTGCACAGACCCGACACGACCCGACAAAAACCACTGAGCCCCGAACCCAAAACCAACCCAAAGACCAAAACCAGGACTGGATCAGACCGGGAGTCAGTCCTGGTTTAGTCCTGGTTTAGTCCGGGTTCTTAAGTCCTCCAGGCCCCAGGACCCTTCTCCAGATCTGGTTAGGATCCAGGTCTGGACCTCGCCGGGGAATCTTTGCTCTCAGTTTTTTGCCGACGACACAAAAACAAAAATAAAATCCATAAAAACAAAAATAAAATCCATAAAAACAAAAATAAAATCCATAAAAACAAAAATAAAATCCATAAAAGTTTCTTTAAATAAAATAAACTTTGATTCTGAGTTTGAGCCTCACAGGCCTCCGTCCCAATAACTTAAACCAGTGTCAGTCCGTCCTCCAGGGGGCGCTCACCGACCACGAGCCGCTCCTGAAACACAACACACACCGTGAGACCTGGTCCAGACCTGGTCCTGGTCCTGGTCTTGGTCCTGACCTGGTTTCTCGCAGGTGGAGGGCAGGTGGTAGGTTTTAGTCCTGGTCTTGGTCTTAGTCCTGGTCCTGGTCTTGGTCCTGACCTGGTTTCTCGCAGGTGGAGGGCAGGTGGTAGGTTTAGTCCTGGTCTTGGTCTTAGTCCTGGTCCTGGTCTTGGTCCTGACCTGGTTTCTCGCAGGTGGAGGGCAGGTGGTAGGTTTAGTCCTGGTCTTGGTCTTAGTCCTGGTCCTGGTCTTGGTCCTGACCTGGTTTCTCGCAGGTGGAGGGCAGGTGGTAGGTTTAGTCCTGGTCTTGGTCTTAGTCCTGGTCCTGGTCTTGGTCCTGACCTGGTTTCTCGCAGGTGGAGGGCAGGTGGTAGGTTTAGTCCTGGTCTTGGTCTTAGTCCTGGTCCTGGTCTTGGTCCTGACCTGGTTTCTCGCAGGTGGAGGGCAGGTGGTAGGTTTAGTCCTGGTCTTGGTCTTAGTCCTGGTCCTGGTCTTGGTCCTGACCTGGTTTCTCGCAGGTGGAGGGCAGGTGGTAGGTTTAGTCCTGGTCTTGGTCTTAGTCCTGGTCCTGGTCTTGGTCCTGACCTGGTTTCTCGCAGGTGGAGGGCAGGTGGTAGGT